ATAGATAGATAGATAGATAGATATACACACACAACAATTAAGTTCTCAACTGAAACAAAACTTGTCTCACATCAAAAACTCTATTTGCCCACTACAAAACCCTGTCTCTAAAGAGTGTAACCTGAGCGGCGAACAAGGCGTTGGCCATAGTGTGCCACCAAAGGGGGTTGATACCACTTGGCATGATGCTGGACGACAGCCCTTATTCACTGTCAAAGGGGTTTCTATTCACAACGGAGAAAACGATGAAATGCCTCCATTATAGTGGGGACCAAAGGGCCCCGGTGCAGCCAGACACCTGATCTCCTCTTTGGCTCTGGCTTCTCTTTGTCAGAGTATTTCATAACTAGCATACCCACTTTAAAAAAGGACTTGATGCTGGAGCAGCGATGGACCTGAGACTCTGTGTTTCTGCACTCAGACATGGGAAATAAACAAACCATCTTTACAGCACAGCAGCTCGATGCCTATCAGGTTGGTATCACTCATGTTTCTTTATCAATTAATTGATAAGGCTCACTCAGAATGAATGGAGCTACCATTATCAGTGTTAGCTTAACATCTACGAACAAGATTAATCAGACCTCTTCATACTTTTTATTAGCAAAAAAGAAAGGGATCCAGTCCCATGTGGTGCAGCACTTCCTGACATTCAGAGTCACTGTTTTCCTGACATTGTGTGATGACTGGATTTGCTTTTGACTTGCATCATTTTTATGAAAAGAAAACTCTCAGAAGTAATTTGAGGTGCAAAGTTAGAGATGTCATATGGTAAATAAATGGTAAATGGCAAGTAAGGTATTTATAAATAAAGTTTTTCATTTGATTTTTTGGAGAAATTTTGGAGAAACATTAATATTTACACAAAAATAATTGCCATTTAAAAAAAAGTATTGAATTTCACTGCTTTGATCCACCACAACATCGCCACAACATGCTGATACATGATAATAATAATCGTAATAGACAGACAGAGATCATTTTGCCTGTTTTGTAAGCAATTCATAATTTGCTTCCAAAAACTGTATGTTTACTTCTCTACCAGCTCAACTGTTATAATTACAAAATGCATAAAATTGTGTAAAATAAGTGTTTTTTATTGATGTATTGCTATTACTGAGTAAAGATTATACACATCACTGTATGCAAACAGCTCACATTGAATTTAAATTGTATTTACAGGACTGTACATATTTCACCAGAAAGGAAATTCTGAGGTGAGCCTACATTACTTCAGTTATTTTGTTTATACTTCCTGCTTTATGACATCACTCCAGTGCAGAAAAGATCAAACCTAGAGAACTAAACATGGACTCAGGATAAGTTGTGTTAGATCTCATTAATCTCCTGAGTCATTGCTTATGTAGCATGCTTGACAGAGCTGAATTTTGTTCTATTCTGCACAATACCATACTGTAACTCTAAACTAGACTATCAGGACACCTGTCTTGATGTGGGGCAGACTGCCACTGAGATCACAGGCTATTTCTACTGTGCTGGAAAGTGTATAAGTTGAATGTTTTTCTGTTTTCAAAATAGTGTCCGTAGCTGAAAAGCAAGTTCTTAACTTAACTTTTCCTTTCTAACTTTTCCTTGTCCCTTTAAAGTCCAACTCTACATATTATAGGACATATCTTGTAATTCAATATTGATAGTAAATTTTTTAAACCTTTCCTAGACTCTTCTACCGCTATCGGGATTTGGCACCGCAGCTCGTTCCTCTTGACTACACCAACCACCCAGATGTGAAGTTACCATATGAGCTGATTGGCAGCATGCCAGAGCTGAAGGTAGTCCCGCTGCACTGGTCCGCACACGCCCTGCAGACCCGCGCTCTCTCCCTGTGTTCCCAATCCATAATTAATGACCAATTAATCGACAGAAGTCTTTGAGCGGTTATATGTTACCCGACTCCTTTAAACTTGAAGGATGTTGGTGGGTCCCAGGGGACACACTTGGTGGAAATAGGTCAATTATATGCCTCTTTACTCAGTGACAGCAAGGTAAACAGGTGTGTTAACAAGCTGGTCACTGACATGCCCCGAGAAAGGGAGAGTGAGCTGGTCACGATCAGGGTCACGCCTGAGGTTGCCACTTTTTCCATGCTGTTGTGATTTCTAAAGATAATTTTATGACTTTATTGGATTTCAAATAGAAAAACAAAACTTAAGTAAAATCACAAACAGCACAGTTTCGTTAGAACAGGACTAAACTCCATCACATCGAACAAGCAGAAGTTAGTTGTGTTGAACATTTGTGTGTTCATGCTTTGACTGTCTGTTTAGGACAACCCATTTCGACAGAGGATTGCTGAGGTTTTCTCTGAGGATGGCGAGGGAAACATGACACTGGACGACTTCTTGGACATGTTTTCTGTCCTCAGTGAGATGGCTCCACGGGACCTCAAGGCCTACTATGCTTTCAAAATTTATGGTAAAATCTTCATAAATCAAGGATTCTTGTAATTGTTTTTGTTTTTTTCTTTAAAACCAATGTTAATTCCAACCAATTTTTACATTTTTGCAGTTTCACAAATCATACTGTGCATACTTTACTACACACGGTACATAACAAAGTATGTGAATAACCCTTCCTACTGCCACTGCAAGCTGAAAAAATACATTTAAATGTTAACATTTTACACCGAATAAGGAGATATTTCAAGTTAAATGCACTGTTTACATCTGTTTGCAAAAGGCAATCATGGAAACAAAATTGCTATACGTTAAACTGCAGAAAACAGCATTGACTTAAGCTCATTATTAGTTAGAATAAGGGCAAATTTAATGTTAGAGCCATGCAGATATACCGCTGGATTTTCTGCACCTGATTTGAGTTGCGAAAGAGGATGTTTGGTTTCCAACATCCCAGACAGCAGAGTGGGCGTTAAACACATCTTGAAACTTGCAGCATTCAAAGAAGCGGTTTGTCAGTAAAACTGAACTGATTATTGTGCAAAACATGTACGATGAAATCATCAACAGTAATATATATTCATCCTGAAGGGTTATGGATCGGTAAACACAGCAGATGGGGAATGGAAAGTTTAGGATCATATGCCAGCTCGTCAAAGCCTCGGTTAAAAAAACAAGACAGCTGACAACTTGTGAAACTACACACGAGAACTTTTCATTCCTTATTCAGACTAACAAGGGTGACATAGTTACACTATAATGAAAAGGATTATAAGAAAACACAGCCTGCTTTTCTTCATTAAATGAATCATACATTAAATATTTCAGCCACATTAACAAAATATAAGGTGAAAAAAAAAAGTTGTCAGCTTTAGTTCCACATTTGTCCAAAACAATATATTAAAAACTATCTTTTGTCCAACCAGATTAGTCTAAAACATGTTCAATTTACAGCCAACAAAGACACAAAAAGGCTTAAGTTGAATAATTTGACCTGTTGATATATATATTTTTTTTCTGTAAGATTTCAACAACGATGACTTCATCTGCAAGTCAGACCTGGAGAAGACGCTGAACAAGCTGACTCGTAACGAGCTGACAGAAGACGAGGTGAGGATGGTGTGCGAGAAGGTGATCGATGAGGCCGACCTGGACAATGACGGCCGTCTGTCACTCGAAGATTTTCAGCACATGATCGTTAGAGCTCCGGACTTCCTCAGGTAAACCAGCAGTAAACATTTACAATAACATGTAAACCCATCAACAAGGACTAGATGTGTTATTTGGTTATAACTATTGACTCTAATATAGAATATTGTCCTTTTGCTGACTTTCGTAATGAGAAGTGTTTTCTGTTCATAGCACTTTTCATATAAGGATATAAGCAAATGAAGCAATTCTCTACATTTGCTACCTGGAATAGCCCCAAAGGATGGACTGGAAATACTTCAGAATGAAATCCTGTCATCTTCACATCTTTATCTTTTTTTTATTTTTATGTAAAAATAAATAAAATGACCAAAATCAGTGTTCTGGCATTCTTTAAGGAGTCCACGTCCAGTTTTTCTCTTACAGAAACACCAACAGTCATGCTGTGACTGCAGATCTTTCATCAGGTGGAGGCATCGGCCAATCCCTCAAGACAAGGCTCATTAGCTATGATTATCAACAGTGGATTTGTGTCTTGTATCAAAAGGGGTTCAGTTACACTGGACAATAAACAATAAACACGCCAGAATATTCCAGTGAGCCAATAATAGGTGAGCCATTTGTCATGAAAGCAGTCAGTGGGTAAACTGATAGTTTCCTGTGACATCCAGCCAATAAAGCCACTGAATTGAAACGCACAAGGTTAGTTTTATAACCTTATTTTATTAAATCAAAAGTTCACATATCTACAAAATTGTAGATACATTTTATATGGGTTTAGAAAGTACAGTACAATTTAAGCAGACCTACTTTTTAGTGATATTTACAATGTTTTGTTGATTTTTCGTATTATTGTCCCTGTGTACTTCACACTGATGGAATAAAATATGGCTGTAAAAAGGGAAACATTTCAAGAAAACAAAAGATATGACTTAAAAACAAAATCAAAGAGGAAGTATCATATTTCAGAAAAAAAATTATACAGCTCGAGTCCCATAAAAGTTTGCTCCCTATGTTTCTGTTTATGACTTAAAGCTCGAACAAAACGGTGCCGTCTTCACAGTTCGACACCCGCTCTCTTCCCGCTCAACAGTACCCCGCTGTGCTAAATTTCACCTGCACTGATGCACCAATGCAGCTTTAAATAAACAGAGCGTGTCCTCTCTTTTTGGCTCAGTGAATGACACAAAACAAAAATATCAAAAAGCCCATACATTCAACCGTACAGCTCTGTAGGTATGTCTGAAAAAAAAAGTACATTACACACACGCACAGGTCCGAGATTCACAATGCATAGCTCACCTATGACAGAATAGATTACTAGTGGTTAAGACAAATGGCCATGGTATTCATGAGGTCCCAAATTATTTGATATTACAAAAGGTGCATGAAACATATTGTCCCTCAATACTGTGCATGTAGGAACTTGATTTTAAGACTGACATAAACATAGAAACAGACTGAGAATCCACATCTAAGCTCAACACAGGTGGAGTGTACATAATTGCATCACACTCCCCAGATTAGCTGTCTCTAATAAAATACTGATTCATATTTGAAGTTTGGCAGTTACCTAAGATGCACCGTGTGCTTCTGGCGCCACCTAGCTGTCAGATCTAATGTCCACAATGGGGAAAAACAAACCTGTAAAAGAATGCAGAATACCCCAAACATGGCCATCTTTAGCTTAATTCAAGCCATCTCTATGTAAACTCATAAAATATTACTTTTAAACTATAGGTTGGCAAGCACAGTAGTATAAAAAAGAGAGGTTGAAAGACTTTTATCTTTTAAACGCAGATATATGCTGAAATAACTTACAGTCTGAGTAAGGAAACGTTTTTAAGAGAACTAATAACAGGGCAGTGGACTGCTAGCTGTGAACTACCAGAGGAGATCAAGTCCTTTGGGTGTTGTAAAATGTTGGTAATATATGTCCTTTATATTACCAAGACTCAAAAGGAGCAAAGAAATTTATAGCTGTACTGTATTGCAAAACTATCACTTGGCACAGACTACACACAAACCACAATTTACTGGTAAAGTGCAAGGAGAGCTGCATGACAGCAGGGAAGGGGCAGAAGGGGCTTACAGTGTGAAACTTCAAGTGATTTTAACTGCTCATCAAACAACCAGAGACGTCATTCAGCTTAACTGTGACTAAGAGCTGACAGAAAAAATTCAGACATCAATCTGAAAGCTTAAAACACTGAGACACAAAGTGTCTCACAAATGAGATTGCTGCTTTTCTGCCTCATGTGACAATAAACTGATTATTTTAGGACATCTTTAGTGGCTTCAAACAGGCTGTGATTTCAAACTATAAATTAAGGACTCATTGTCACAGTAATCCTGTTATTACAAATTTAAGACTGGTCATTTGCTACATCAAGAAATGTTCCTAAACAGAGTATTTGCATTTTCATCATTAGAATGACAAAAACCTAAACTGTAGTTTAAGATAATATATTCATCTTCATCACTCACTGAAAGGAGGAGAATGCACCAATGGTGGAGTAATCATTTTCAGTCACAAAAAAATGATTGTCAAGGACAACAAGAGCAGTGCTCTCAGCTCATTCTGTCTGATCCTTGACTGACAGTGAAAAGGAAACCTGTACAGCTCTGTTTCACAGCATTTCAAGCTCATCGGCCTCTGGTTGAAATTTGTCACATAAAAAAAGGGAAAGAGTGCTATTAAAAATAGATCTAAATATATCACATTTGTAATCCAGTCCACAAACTATTAATGACTTCTCATCCCTGGTTCTGCTACCGGTTGTGTGAATGAGTGAGTGAGGATAATGAAGAGACTAACATCTTCCTTTGTGTTAAATGGAACATCTGGATAATGCTCCTGGCTGAGTCCTCCAACCAGCAGAGCGCCGTGACTCATGAAGTCAACATTTATCCTTAAAATGGAAAAGATGAAACTCTGGAAGCTTTCAGAAGAGGAAGCAAGGAGGGGAAGTCCTCCATTTACTGACAATATAATGGCTTATGTGGGCTTTTAGGACTGACCATAGCTGGAGAGAAAGGGGGAGGAAGTGCTAAGAGCAAGAACAGTCTATTTATGTCCAGTCAGTATGAAAGGCCTCAGTCCTCAGAGTAGGCTACAGCGGAAGAAGCTGGTCTTTTTCTGAGGCTCTGAGATCTTTACGCCCTGACTGCTTCCTTGCGGTGTGTTGCCCTCCTGCAGCAAAAACAACAAAGAAAAACAAAAGACAAGTCAAAACACTGTCATCTGCTGCACAGTTTTCCACAAGCTGGAAAAACTCAAAAACATTGCATAAAAAGAGCCACAAGAGCTGCTGATCATTTTTACCAATTTTGTGTCCATTTTTGATTTGATGTCTCTGGCGAGCGTCAAAAACGCCTGTGAAACAGAAAAGCATGCTTTCAAAATTATAATCTTCATCTACTGTAAATTCAACTCAAGAATTTAAGGCAGCTGGACCTAATAGTCACAAGGTTCAATTAGATTCAATTTTATTTATATAGTGCCAAACAGTAACAACAACAGTCGCCTCAAGGTGCTTATATTATAGGGTAAAGACCCCAAAATAATAGAGAGAAACCCCAAAAAATCAAACGACCTCTTTTGAGCAAGCACTTGGTAACAGTGGGAAGGAAAACTTCCTTCTAACAGGAAGAAACCTCCAGCAGAAACAGGTCAGCGAGGGGCAGCCATTTGGCGCAACTGGCTTTGAGACGAAAAGTCCAGTTATCACCAACAAGGTTCTTAATTTTGTGCATATGGGAGCTTCGCTTTCTAACCACGAAAGATGACATCAATTTTAGACACAAGCAGGTGACATGTTTTGGGGTTTTTCTGGAGGCAAATACTGTTGTGATTTAGCGCCATATAAATAAAACTGAACTGAATGTTTACATGACGTATCAAATTAACTGTGCCATGTGTTCTAGCTGACAAAGTGCTTACATTTTCCACGTTGATGTTGGACTTTGCGCTGGTCTCCATGAACTTTATTCCATACTCTAGTGCAAGCTGAAATAAACAAACAAATAAATAAAGCTTTAAAAAAAATTCTGCTGACACTTTTATTCAAAGCATATTACTTTAACATTGCAATAATGACTAAGATTCCCCCTCGACTGATGATCTAGGTGGAAATGACACAGAGTATCACCAGCTACTTGTTGGTTTCCATTAATGAAGTAAATTTATATAAAATGTACTTACAGTAACCCCTGCATGTAACCAACACTAACTCAGATGCATGTGTATTAAGGATGGGCATTTCAAGCAAACACGCTATTTAACATTCACTAGGAACAAGTCGCCTATTTTTCAAAAGTTGGAAACTGCTTTTAAATGACTATAAACAGCTGTGTCAGACTTTTCACCATGCTAGCTTTACCTTGTTTCCATTTGTTATATAAATTTGTTCCATAAAAGACCCTTTGATGGCTGTAATAATGATTGGCTTTGCATATTACAGCGACATATAACCTCAGTCTGGCACATGGTACTTAGTAGTGCACCCTGTCCTAGCAGATGTTTTACTGCCACCTACAGGTAGTAAAAGTGCATTAAATCCAACCAGGCAATAATAAAAACAAGGAAGAAGGGTTAGATCTTAATGTAACTTTACAGTGGCAGAAACACTAGTTTCTCTTCTCTCCTCTCAGTTTCACTGTGTGTTTGTGCTGGTGAACCTGAAACTGCAAGAACAGCCAACCATTCCTCCCCACAGGGCGATCTCACAGTGTGACTACATGAAAATAACTCTTTGGAGAAGATTATGTGAGACCATGCATCTGTCAAGCTTCTCACCTTTTCCCCCATCTCTTTGGACACCTGCCGTTTGTCATTGATGTCACATTTGTTGCCAAGGACCATCTTCTCAACGTCCGCTGACGCATGCTGGATTAGAAGAGTTTGAATTTTAAAACGGTACATGATACCATACAGACTTTTGATGGGTAGAACATAAGTGGATGAGTTTATATTTGGACCAGAATGTACCTCTTCTATATTCCTTATCCAGTTCTTGATATTTTCAAAGGATTTTTCGTTTGTGATGTCGTAGACGAGCATGATGCCCTGTAAAGAGCAGTACAATCATAAATAAATGCAGGTGAAGCTGCACCTTCAACAGGAAAGAGGATGTAAATCACATCTGTCTGTCAGCATGTGAAGATACCCACCATTGCACCTCTGTAGTAGGCTGTTGTGATTGTTCGGAAGCGTTCCTGACCAGCTGTATCCCTAAAGAAAAAACATCATTAGTTATCAGAAAGCTTAAGGACAAAATATCAAATTGAATGTTTGTGGAAATTATTAGAAAAGTTAACACAAATTTCTAACTAATATCAAGCATGACAGCTAATACACTAAATGTATATTAAAACTGATGAAACAGTTATCTTAAACTCGCTAGTTGAACAGGCTGATAACTAGAACTGAGAACTGGCAGTGTATAAACACATCCAACATACATGTAACGGGCTTTTTAAATACCTCTTCATTGGTACAGGAGTAAAACACCAGCATACAGTATATTACTACTGTGTAGTGCTTGTGGGTAACCGTATTAAGTCTGCAACAGTGCATTAATGTAACAAATAATAAATTCAAGGAAAACATCTCGGCACACAAAACTTTCTTCAACATAAACAAGCTATAATACTAATATTTGCAACCTTACAATAACTGTAAAATTTTAATTATGCTAGCTAGGATTACAATTGGGTACTCCTAGCTAGCCAGGTAACATTAACGGTAGAAGCCAAATATGGCACTACATTGAAGTAAAAAGCCTAACAGGTGGTCTGCTAATAACTGACTTTAGCCCTGTTTATTAAAGTCTGGAAGTTATGTGGCTTTATTTTTTGTGTAAATGACATTAAAATGTATTTCTTTTATTCTACATACACTCCTATCTGAAGTCTCTGTAGACTATAATGTTCACAGACAACACTGTGATCTGTAGTGAGAGTTGGGAGGAAGCCAAAGAGAACTTGGAAAGGTGAAGGTATGCAGTGAAGAGAAAAGGATTGCAAGTCACTGAAGCAAGATAGAAAACATGTGTGAATGAGAGGAAGACATAACATAACAGTGAAGAGCAGAGGTAGTAAAGCTGGATAAGTTGAAACACCTGGGGTGAACCATCCAAAACACTGGACAGTTGATGAGAGAGATGAAGACGAGCGTTTAGGCGAGGTGGAGTGGGTGGAGATGAGTGTTGGGGTGATTTGTAACAGAAGCATAGTGGCATTAGTGAAAGGGAAAGTTTATACAAGAACAATGGTTCGAGGATGATGTCACTAGCAAAAACACAGGAGGCAAAGCTGGAGGTGGCAGAGCTGAAAGTGATCTTGAGGAACAGGTTTATAAATGACTACATCAGAGAGACAGCTCAGATTTGAGCGGTTTAGAGACAAAGTTATGCTGCACTTCATTTGCATCAAGAGAGATGTAAATCCTGAGCCGAGCATGCTCCAGTAGTCAAGTTGGAGCAACAACAGGATTTGTTTAGCTACTTATCAAAGTAGAGCTGCTGCTCTAGCAGGTTCATGGATACAACCTGGTCAGTGTTCTAATTTAGCGAGTCACAAATACACAACAGTGGCGGTGCAGACTATGAGTATTACAATTTTACTACTGTTCATGGTTGCCATCTTGAATTGTTAAGCCTGGTTTTTCTGAGGCTCCTCCAACTTTCCGAGCTCAAAATCTGACTTGAGGGAACAGTTCAGATGTAAATTCCATCTGCCAACTTTAACTAGAACACACTATTACAAAGACAAAAAGGAAACTGTTTGGCCATGTGCACTGGAGGAATAGTTGAAATTGGGTAAAGAATGTTAAATATAGAGCTGTTAGTCAGGAGGAAAAGAGGAAGATCTCAGAGAAGATTAATGGATCTAGTGAAGGTCATAAAAGGGGTTTGGTGTAGCAGAAAATGAGGATGCTAGAGATAGGGTGAGGTGGAAGCATATTATCCATTGCAAACCATGCAATGTAATGTCCACTCATGGAAAAAGTGGTAGTGGTTAAAACACATTAATTTTAAAAATGATTACATCTGTGATTCTTATCACTGATAATGTATAAAAAGCACATAAGCAGTGAACTCAAGTATTAAACTAGAGCTTGTAAAGTGTATATACATAGTGTAAAATACTGAAAATAATTATTTGGAAAAAAAAAAAATCAACCAACACTAAATGTGTATTTAAACTAAATTAAAACAATGACAAATACAAAACATTGTCGGCAAAATTATGTCACATGTCCAGCATTAAACTTACCATATTTGTAACTTTATCTTCTTGCCGTCAAGCTCTATTGTCCTAATCTTGAAATCAATGCCTGCGATTAAAATAAAAACCCAACATGAATGTCAAATGTCTGTGAAGGTTCTCAGTCATCCAGGTCATCGTAGTCAAAGGCTATGTCAAAGGCTCCTTTGACTATGAATGTCAAATCATAACGATAGCTTAGTAGCTCGGCTCTAGCTGTCAACATTGGCTAAGTCTACTTTTTCAGCAAGAAAAATAACACCTACGGGCTGCCAATAAGCTACAGGAATATGATAATAAACAACCATTACACCGTCAAATATCCGGGTTTTGTATGTCTTCCAAGAATGTAGACGGAGCCAAACGGCTAATGTGCTACTCGGCTAACCGTCTTGGTTAGCAACCCGGCATCAGGTTATTATACAACAAAACATTTCTGCTTAAACATGCGCCACACGCACAAACAAAGGTTATCAGTGCTTCACTTCACTACACTGAATTAACTAGTCAATCGTACTGCTGCTACTTTAGCAAATACACATTCTGCCTATATGAATGTAAAAGAGAAACTAGTTCCTTCTGCTGAAATCCAGCAAGTAGACGGCCTCACCGAGGAAGCCCATTGACGTATTGTAAACAGAGAATGACTCGGTTTTTGTTTCCCACCCAGATACTCACCTATAGTTGAGATAAACGTTGAATTGAAGGCGTCTTCCGAAAACCTGAACAGGACGCAGGTCTTCCCGACACCAGAGTCTCCGATTAACAGTAATTTAAACAAATAGTCGTATGTTTTCGCCATACTTGATATTATTGCGGAAATCCCGCCCGGCAAAGAAGCAATGTAAATGAGCTGGAATGACGCCTCCTGCTGGCCCGGAATTCAACACCGTTTCAGACTGTGACCGTGAGGCTTTTAGGTTGTTGGCTTACGTAAGGTAGACCAGGTTATAATTGTGACTTAGTCAACTTGTCCTACTTTATGCTTTTTTTTCCTTTTTTTTCCCTTTTTTTTTTTTTTTTTTTTTAAATCTACTGCACTTGTTACTGTACTGTATAACTATAGCCTTAATTCAATATAAAGTTTTGTTCTTGCCATTTTATTATGTACACCTTGCTAGGACCAGTTTGGGTCTCTTTTTTGCGGCATAGATTTAGCAATGTGCTCCAAACATTCCCCAGAGATTTTGGTTCAAATTCACAAAGTTGCTGCAGATTTGTCAGCTACAGATTCATGACGTGAATCTCCATCTTTGGGTTCCACTACAACCTAAATTGCTCTACCCAGATTGAGAGCTGATGACTGTGGAGGCCATTTGAATACAGTGAACTTATTGTCATATCCAAAAAAACAGTTTGAGATGATCTGAGCTTTGTGACATGATGTATTATCCAGCTGGGTACACAAATTAAGGGACTGACACGGCATTAATGGATGGACACGGACAGCAACACCAGCAACCTAGACAGGCAGGGTTGGCATTCAAACAATGGCAGGCAATACTTTCCCAGTTGTCTGTTGTCCAGTTTTGGTGAGCCTGTGTAAACTGTATCCTCAGTTTCCCATCCTTAGCTGACAGGAGAAGCACCTGTTGTGGTCCTATGCTGCTGTAGCCCATCTGCTTCAAGACTTGATGTCTGGTGCTACTCTGCATACCTTGGTTGCAATGAGTGGTTATTTGAGTTGCTGTCAGCTTCAACTCAAAGCATTCACTGACATTAATACTACTACTACAGGATTACATTGTTTCTTACATTTCGGTATACTTGGAAATCAAGGGAAATTTGTGTTCATTAATTAAAAAAGTAACTTCCATTTGAATTACAATTCGACTAAAGAAAAAAAAATTAAATACAAATTACCACAGCCTAAAAAGGGTCAATTAGGACTTCTAATGAGGTTGGAAAGTAGAGTAAAAGTGAAAAAGAGTGAACAGTCATTTTACGTATTCATCTGTTTCTGTGTGAACATGTTTATTTAGACGGTATAGGCGTATAGCATAAGTCAGGAATTGTGGTTTAGTTTAGTAACCAGGAGAGAGAAAAAGTGTTTTTGTCCATCCATGTCTTAAGGAGCCTTATTTTTATATTAATAACGTTGATGCACAGTGGTGTTAAATATTATATTGTACATTAAGAAGGTCTAATTGTATTCAATGACATATTATTATAATTTTTTTGATAGGTGTAGTAAAAATAATTATAGATCCATTTAAAAAGATATATATACATGTAACAAGGGACTGTGTATTAGATAGGTATATTTATTTATAACATATATGTATACATTAGACTGTATGATTAAAACAGATATAAATTATGAGCTATAGTGGTAGGAATTAATAATCATTTGCTTCCTCCTACTCCTTTTTTGAATGGGAAGTGGTCAATTTTTTGAATTGACCACTCTTTTGAATGAATATAATGGTTTTATTTGAGTTCATTTTCATTTGTTTTTATGTGTCTTAACACTTGATGTGTTTGAAATAAGGATTTGATTGATTGATAGTGAACACTAATCTCGTTTTTGGGGTTTTTTTTGCTTTTTTTAATCTAACTGAATTGTAGGACTTTTCTTTTTTGTGTTAATGCATTTTGAAGCGTCTCGAAAACTGTCGTTTCCAAAACTTTCCATCAGATCACACAGCCTTCTTTACTGCCTGGCCTCTGTCATGGTCTGTTAACAAGACCCACACGATTTTGCAACACTTTGTGCTGAAGCCAATAAGTGTTGATGCAGAGTTGGATCGTGTTTCTAATAGTGAGTAATTGTTGCACAATATGCAATTGGTTTATTGTTGAGGACGTAGTCTTTAACTTTTCTTTTATTGCTCAGTAATGATCTTTACTGTACAGCATAAAGCAACTGGAACTGTTTATTTTAAAGCTCACAGTCATAAGAAGCTTGATAAGAAGTTTGAGGACGCACTTATACTCTGATAACATCTTTAATATTAACCTCATGCGGTTGTGCCATTTCTTGATCATAGCACTCAGTGGCACTACTGTTGTGAAAGAAGAGATTCAGTATCTGCAAAAAAAAAAAAAAGCTGCTGTCTTAGCACAGAGAGGACAGTGTGCATGTCAGCACATGTAAACTGAAGGGTGAGCTCTTTTCCCTGGAATGGTTTATAGATGTGTGTTGAAACCGACTCGCAGACATGACACAAAAGATCAGCAGCAGCATTAACACCGTCGTCATCATCGGTTTTATTTGTGCACAGAGTTTGGTCTACAACACAATTCCTAGCACCAATACTGAAATCATGTGGACCCAAAACCATTTTTTTTAAAAAGGAAAAGGAACAAAAAGGACTATAAATACATAAAAGGGCTACATGTGTTTTACAAATTAAGAGTGAAATTGCAAAAAAAAAAATGGATGGCATGTAGAAAATATCTTTTACAAAGTTGTTGTTTGTTTTTATTTATTTTTTTACTTATTTGATGTTCTTCTTGGCATTTTACAAGCTATTGAGCTCCTGCAGTGTTTGGTCCAGGACTTGGTGCATTCCTATGTTTTCTTCTTTTGCGTGTGATAGGTTCTCTGTAATGAAAAGCAGCAGGAAATATATAATATAACTGTTTGTCAGGTAAGAGGTAAAATTGTTAGCCTCATAGTGAGAAAAATGCAGAAACAGCTGCAAAGTGATGAAGAGCAGATTGCAGTGAATGACAGAAGGCAGTGTAAAAGAGAAAAAGGTCTTTATTAAGCTTCAGTTTAATGCAAAAAGAAGGAGAAGGGAACTCTGAATGCAAAGGAATAAAAGAGACAAAGTGCTTCTAAAGATGCAAAGTCGGCAGAGTGCAGGGTTTACAAGGTGTTCATATCATTGAGGGCATGATCCAGCTCCTCGCTGATAGCCTTGAATTTCAGCTTCTGAGTGTACAGTTCATCTGCAGGTCAAAAGGCGGAGAGTAAGCGGGACACGGGAGGTTGAGAGGAAAAAGTGTGCAGGCCATGAAGGGGAAATCAGAAAAAGAGAGAAATCACAGAGCAGAAAGTTAAAGATTTATTACAAGAAGGAGTGTAGGGTAGAATATGAGGGCTGAAAGAAAGCGTACCTTCTAAGTCATCTATGGTCTTTTCCAGCTTAGCCACTGTCCTTTCTGCGAATTCTGCACGGGTTTCCGCCTTTTTCAAACAGTAAACACAGTGAAATATATATGCAAAGCTTACCTCAGAAAACACAGGTTCAGCTTAAGCAGAGTGAATGAATTTACCTCTTTAAGTCTGTCATTCAGGACTTTAATCTCCTCCTCGTATTTGTCTTCTTTATCAGAGTACTATGCAGACAAAGAAAAGCAACAACTTTGTTTGTGAATGTGAGCACGGAAAAAAAAGGCACTTAATGTGCTGCCGATCCTGCTGAGTGGCTGTATTGGGTGACAGTGGTGAGTGTGGATGTGTGATGGTGTTTTATGATAGCGAGCTTACCTTCTCAGACTGAGCCTCTAGAGACTTGAGGTTGTTGGTAACATTCTTAAGCTCTTCTTCCAGGTCACTGCACTTACTGAAAGAAAGAAAAGATGTTTTTTTTTCCCCAATAACTTGCTTAGAATATATTTAAAATTCACATATTGTGGTAGGAATAACTGCACTGAATTTCTCCTTACAGTTCTGCAATTTCTGCCCTCTCTTCTGCCCTCTCCAGCTCACCCTCGAGGATGACCAGTTTACGGGCGACCTGGAACGAAATCACAGTTGAACATCAGCTGAAGCGACATCTCACAAAAAAATAAACACAATCCGTCCTTTCATACCTCCTCGTATTTGCGGTCGGCTTCCTCGGCAATGTGTTTGGCTTCTTTGAGCTGCATCTCCTGGATCTCCATCTTCTCCTCGTCTTTCATGGCTCTGTTCTCAATCACCTTCATGCCTCTAAAGATGGAAACGATCTTCATTTAGTCCAACAAGACCACAAAGACACTCGACATTGCAGAGGTAATCTGGGAGTCTCTCTAAAAGCTGACTTAACTCAGTAACCACCAACTTTGCATTTCCAACAGTTATTTTTTACCTGTCAAATTTCACTGACAGGCAATGGCATCTATTCACTGCACTAATGGGATTCTCTATCTTTGTATCACACTGTGACTTGTATGGCTCTGTATACAGTTCTGTTACCAAGCCTTCCTGCTTCAGTTCCGATGGGCCATGGACCATTTACCTTACTGTTCTGTTTAAGCCTCTAGTTTTTGTGCTATTGCTGTTTTTGATTTTTCCTTGAAAAATAAAACTTCAAACTTTACAAAGTATTGCTTTCATTTATTTTACTTATTAAAAATACATCTGAATCTACAGATCTATGCTGATTTTCACCTTTCGCTCTCATCTGCGGCCTTCTCGGCCTCCTCCAGCTTCTGCAGGGCTGTGCCCAGTCTCTCCTGAGCACGGTCCAACTCCTCCTCCACCAGCTGGATCCTGCGGTTCAGCGATGCTACTTCGCTCTCAGCCTGTAGCCACAGATTGAGAGAGATAGGGAGGTCGCAGGTCAGAGGCCAGGAAGGAAACACGAATGCAGCCAAAACAGGAAGGTTACCACTTATGCTCAATGCTGAAAACTGTTTATCCATTCATTCATTTTGAAGCTACACTATTATCCCCCCCTTTCATTCATGGCTTTAAGAAGATGTCAAGATCAGGTCCTTGCATGTCTCCGTTTCATTTTCTTTTTCAGCCTTAGTGACTTTGATGAGTTGTGGACTTTGCAGCCTGGCTATCTGCTTTACTAATATGCTGACACAGAATAGCGCAGTGACAGCTTTTTTTAAAATAAACATGCTGGCATCTGATATTTTACAGCTGTCTTCACTTTTGTAGTGTAAACCAAAGCATGTTTGGGGGGACAACAGCT